GGGGAAGAAACCGAACGAGAAAAACAACTGTGTATCGAGCCGTAGCGGATTATCATTTCCTGCGCGGAAGTGAATGATCACGACTCAAACACTCCGAAATGGGCCGCACGAGACGTGTGTCACAAAGTTCACGACGAGAGGGCCGGACGGATGAAGGACGGTCGAGGGCGGGGGGGGGGCGGGGGTGGCGGAAATACACAGCACACTCACAGACACTATGCTACTGAGAAAAAAAAATAAAGCGCGGGTGGGCCGGTGGATCTCCGAGTACTGTCGCGGTCCCCGAGAAACGACGGGGGGCCCACCGACCGCCCCACACCCCGCTACAAAAAAAAAAGTACATTAGTGTGACGTAACATCCGTTCATGTCTATATATCCGTGCATCGAATCGAATCGTCGCCGTCGTGACATCGCGCACCGCGAGAACGCGCGACGACCTCTCGACCCAACGGGAGCGTCGTGTCGTCTCTGCGTTGTCCTCATCATCGTCATCGTCATCACCATCATCATCACAATCATCGTCACAATCATCGTCATCATCATCATTATCATCATCATCGTCATCATCATCATCATCATCATCATTGTCATCATCATCGTCATCGTCATTATCGTAATCATCATCATCGTCGTCGTCGTCGGGGTCTCCAATTCGTTACTATCGTTACTCTGGAGGACGATCTAGCGATCCGGAGATGCGTGATCGAGAGAGAGAGAGAGAGAGAGAGAGGATCGACTTCCGGTGCCACGGGCGGCACGCGAGAGAGTAGGTTATAGGTATACTCTCCGTCTCATATCGTCGACTGAACGCGCGAATGAAGCGTAGAGGAAGCTTTCTCGCGCGCCTCCGTCGGCACGGGGAATCTGAATTCAAGCACGTCATGTGCCATGCTCGATTCCCGATCCGGATAGAGAGGAAGAAAGATAAAGAGAGAGAGAGAGAGAGAGAGAGAGAGAGAGACAGAGAAACACGGGAAAAATAGAGAAGGAGGGAAGGGGAGAGAGCAAGAGATCAAGACGGCGAGAGATGTTCCATTGTGCGCGCACACGTGTTACGTACGTCGACGATCCGTCGTGTATGACGATATATATAAATATAAAGGTATACATATGCGTACACGCGTATCTGGCGGGTTTTGATGATTATACAACGTATTATATGTACGGCAGGCGATCTACATGAGCTACGTACTTGTTTGTACTCCGACAGGATAAGTGGCGGCGGGCAAAACTGCCGCCCCGTTATACCTCAGTCTCTCGAATGGGTTCCGCTGGCTAACAAATCACAAATTACAACCATCAGTCTCTCGTCCTCGCACCTCGCACCATTCGCTAATAAAAGCACTACTTTCTTGCCTAGGTTTTCTTTTAGAGCGTGCGCGCAATCGGCGACTTCTTTCCTCCCGCGAGTCGCGCGGCTCATGACGGGGCGTTTGCCGACGATTCTCTCTACGCGTTTACTTCCGTTCCCAGTCTCTAGTGTTTGTACTTGTGTTTGTGTGTTTTCTTTCCCTCCTCCGGCCTACGCGCTCGCGTGTGTGTCGCACGCGTGTGAATCGAGAGAAAAAAATGGTAGATTTGCGCGCAAATCTCTTCTTCTTCTTTTCTTTTCTTTTCTTTTCTTTCCTTTCCTTTGTGCGCTTTTGCCGCTTTTCGCGCTGCACTCTTCTAGTACAGAGAGATAGAGGCAGGTGGACAGGCACAAGTAGGCAAGCAGATAAATAGAAAGAAGGAAAGAAAGAGAGAGAGAGAGAGAGAGAGAGAGAGAGAGAGAGAGAAAGAGATACAGAAAAGAGAGAGAGAGAGAGAGAGAGAGAGAGAGAGCGAGCGCGCAAACGATTTCTCTCTCGGGACAAAGTTACGCGAAGAGTCGAAGAACGGAAAAAAAAAAAAATAACCAGACACGACCGAAGCGGTGGAACACGGCAAAGTGCACACGTCCGTCGTGATTCGAGTGTCGCATCGCACACGAGCGAAGCAAGAGCGTTGAGGTATTGTTCAGCCGGCCGGAGATGCGCCGGCTCATCAAGTGGAAAAGGACCGCCACAGGCCAGACACCGGCGCCGTGTCCGACCGAACGGAACGGCCGAGACTTGCTGAGGATTTGCCGAGGGAGACTGTGCGCGCGCTATGAAACTTGTCTCTTCCCGGTCCTCCGTTCAGAGTGCCTTGCGTCAAGCGAGAACATTACAGTAAAATATTCTTTAAGCTGTCGAGCGACACTCTTATCGAGGAAGGACGAGGCACTGCACGCGGGCAGAGAGGTCCGCATTTGCCACCACCCGGTCGCTTCAGTCGCCCGGACGAACACGAATGGAAGGAGGCAATTTTCGTGCCGGAAATCGCTTTCGGAATTCCCAGAGACACCGATGCGAACGTGCGCTAACGACCGGTATTGGTAGGTGTGTCTTTCATTAGTGTCAGCGGTTGATTCTCGCGATAGGAGTGGCGCGAAGCGAGACTCGGTGTACACGGCGTTGCGGAAGCACGCGCGACAAAATTGCCAGACTCGACGATCGAAAGGTCAGGTATTTTTGTTTTTCTTTTTTTTTGCAGAGAAAGAGGGAGAGAGAGAGAGGGGGGAGGCAAGGAAGAAAGAGAGAGAGAGAGAGAGAGAGACGGTATGTTGCGGAAAACGCGCGTGCCCGCCTCGAGCGAACGAGTAGAAAGAAATCCGTCGAGATTTCGCGTCGTGTTTTTGGTCGAGCGTTCGCCGCTCACAGGACGAACCCTCGCATTGAGATACACAACACGCACACAATGCAATATATATGAGTATACATATACATACACACTGTGCACGTTAAACGCACAATAATAATATAAAACATGTCATGTCAACGCGCGCACATCGATACAAATGTATATTGGTATGTTAACATCAGTACACATCACGTGTTAATCAATCGTCACACAACAATGCTTCCACACAGCTGAAGTAATGAGGAAAACGGATGAGAGAGAGAGAGAGAGAGAGAGAGAGAGGAGAGAGAAAAGAGAAAGAAAAACGAGATAGAAAATAGTGAGATGTAATTAGGCGGGGCGGGGGGGGGGGGGTGAAGCGTACACACGGTACGAGTAATCAGGGCGTGGTGAGGGACCGGCCGACCCGGAAGTCGTAAGCCGGAAATCAAAAACGATGCTCACACCAGAAAAGCGAAACACAGACGTCGGAGAGGAGGGAGAAAGAGAAAAAGAAACGGTAGGAGAACACACTCGAGTCGAGTGTTGGCGGGAGCCGTTCCTTAACGAACGTTAGTTAACGTCAACTGGGTTTTCTCGATCGATTCTCCGTCTCAGCCTGCGAGCGAGACTGCGCCGGGGCCAGAGAGCTGGATTGTAATCCAGGGTCTATAGAGCTCGAAACTGGACATGCCATGTCGGGAATCGCTGGAACCCTCAGTCAACTTTAACTAAGACTTCGCGAGAACGGCGTTTGCGTATCGAGGAGCACGGGGGAGCACACATCGCAGCAGCGCCGTTGTTACATCTCCGATCGTCGCCGATCGAGAAGCTTTTTGGAGCCCGCTCGTTCGGACGTACGGACGAATTTCACGAGCGCCTCCAAACGCACACATACACGTACATGCAAAACATCTTAGAGGGTAAGTTAGGGGAGAGAGGAGGAAACCGAAAAGAAAAAACGAAAAAAGAGGAAGATAAACAAAGGTAGAAAATTCAGAGAAAAAGAGAGAGAGAGAGAGAGAGAGAGAGAAGGATCACACGCGCGCGCACGCACACACACACACACACACACACACACACAAAAAGAAAGACGCGATGGAGACAACTCGAGAAGCGTATGACGGCAGCCAAAACGGACGTAATCATAATGGTCCATCGAACAGAAGAGCATTAAAAGCCATCGTCAGTGTCTCTCGGGCTGCGAGAACGCAACGATTAGCGTCAAGTTCAACCGCGTGTCGATTGTTGCGGCGAACGCGTACCGTATGTGCGTTACGTTTCATTAGCGCCTCGCTGACGGAGACAGAGGACGAAGGAGATTGTGTGATAATGAGCGACGAGAGAGAAGCGATACACACGATCGGATGATGCTCGATCGTATCCCGCGACGGGATCGCGGAGAGGCGCAAAGATATAGAAAATAAAAGAAAAGAAAACAAGAAACGATAAGAACAGGAGCGATATACAACTGCCGCGGTGATAATAATCATTGCAAAGGCTGCGTCTCCACATATGGCGAAACAAATTGCTTCGCGCCTATATATATATATATACACACACACATATATATATATATATTGGCTAGCATTTTCTCCTGTTGTGGAGGATGGTTTAGAGTCAACCACAAACGCGGCTCGTGTCGCATGAAATACATAATAATAAGCAGACGGGCGAAAAATATTAATCGAGATTCGCGGTCCGTAAGCAATCACTATTAAACAAAATGCAGACATTGTGAGAGAAGTGTGTAAAGAGGCAGAGTGGTAGTATTAGTAATAGTAGTAGTAGTAGTAGAAGTAGAAGTAGTAGTATGACTAGGAGCAGCAGTAGTAATAGTGATAGTGACAGTAGTAGTAGTAATAGTAATAATAGTATAGTAGTAGTAACGTGTTAGTAGTAAGAATAGTAGTAACAAGAGTAGTAGTAGTATTAGTGGAGGAGGAAGAGACATGGTTAGTAAGAATGGACAAATAAGTTAGTGGAGAGTAAGTAAGAGAGAAAGGGCGATAGAGAGGGGGGGGGGAAGAAAGAGAGAGAGAGAGAGAGAGAGAGACAGGGGGAAAGAGAGAGAGAGGCAACACAAAAGGCAAACCGAGTCTGCTAGCAGGAAATTATAGTACAGAATACATATCGATCAAGTGTCGCAAAAAAAACCAACACGTCAAATGAGAGAGAAAAAAACGGGAAACAATGAGAATATGTATATATATATATATAGATATATATAGATAAATAGAGAGAAACGGTTAATCAGATTATGTATAAGATGGTCAAACAATCATCAAACTTGCGGAGAATGGACTTGCGGACTAACCATGTAGTAATCCTGAGAAGGGGATCTGCCTGTCACAGATACATTCTGCACCAGAGTTCTATTGCTCGTCTGAAAGTAGGTGACACATTCTAGTTTTACTTCATTAGCCTATGAGTGAGAGGTTCGTTGTAGCGTTTCGTTTTGTTTCTTTTCTAGCAATAACTTTCTTTCTGTTTCTCTTAATTGTCCGTACGACTGTTCGGTACGTTTTTCGTACGCCTCGTTTCGTATGCTTCTTCGTGTGATTCAACATTTATCGACCGTTGACTGTGCGAGACAGACAAAGTACGGACAGAGAAGAAAGGGGGAGAGAACGTACAAAGTGACACAGAGTAAAGTGAATTATAATAGATTATAGAAACAATTGGTAGAAAGAGACAGAAAGAGAGAGACTGAGAAACAGAGACAATGATAGACATACACACACACATACAGAGAGATAGCGAGAGAAAGTGAAAGAGAAAGAGAGAGAAAGAGAGAGAAAGAAAGAGAGAGAGAGAGAGAGAGAGAGAGAGAGAGAGAGAGAGAGAGAGAGAGAAAGAGTGAGAAAGTGAAAAAAGAGACGAGAGAGAGAGAGAGAGAGAGAGAGAGAGAGAGAGGAAACGAGTGTCATCGCGAAATAGTTCGTTTGAACTAGAATTCGTTCGTTGTGCAACTCGTGCGAGGTATCATCGCGATCTGTTGCGACAGCTGTAACAGACCGACGATGCCGTCCTCTTTGTCGCACAAGTCGCCGTGATAAATGCATATATTCGATATGATTAAAGAATTGTCTGCGCAACCATCGTATATATAGAGTGTCTTGGGATACTGGGAGATTCTTCGAGATACGCGTTCGTAATTAACCCATCCTAGCAGATAGAATGAAAAAAAAGTACGCGAGCGTCCTCGAGGACGTGAGTTTCCGAGCGACTTGCCGCGGCCACGAACGATCGTCTCGCGAGGGAAGAAGAATTCGGCGCGCTCTGCAGAAACGACGACGTCGTTGTCGTCGTGTTCGAATGTCGAGGTGATTATCACGTCAGATAATACGCGAGAGAACGTCGGAGAGAGCCTTGAACGATAAGTATCGCGCATTTCCATCTCGCTCGGTTTCGTCCGATGACGTCAATTGGCGCATTCGCAGCGCGGCGGAACCGGAGGATGTGACATTATTGATGTTTCTTCTTCTTTTTTTCTCCTTGTCAGTGTCAATTGAGAGCAACGGGCTTACTCGTTCGGCTCGAAGCCGAGAAATGGATATTACATCCGCGCGCAACGCGCGACGGTAATTTATATTGGTACTCTGCTGCACGAAACTCGGCGTTGTTATCAATGTTTATCGTTACGAGAGAGAGAGAGAGATAGAGTCGAGGAGTCTGTAAAAATTCGAGAGCCTGTCGCACCCGTGAGAATCACTCTGTCAAGCGGAAACGACCGATGCGAATTGGACGTTTTCCCGATCGTAAAAATCTGCCAAAGTTCTCGAACGACTGATTCAAATGATTTCGGCGATTTAATCCGCTCGAGTAACTCGAGTTATTCAAATCCGGCTTTTCGATTCCATCTCGTTACACGCAGCAAAAGGATCTGAATACGGCGCGAGACGACGCGGCGTAATTACGCGTAAATCTTGCGCCGATTCTCACGGCAAAACGGCAGCGCGTGGATCGAAAGCGCGATTCGCTGCGACACGCGACTTGTTCGGCACCGTCCGCTTTAGTTGCGAGTTCCCGTCGGGAGTTTTCCGCTTGAAACTGAAATCGATAGAAATAGCCAGAGAGAGAGAGAGAGAGAGAGAGAGAGAGAGAGAGAGAGAGACAGAGACAGAGACAGAGACAGAGAGAGAGAGAGAGAGAGAGAGAGCTAAGGCCGCTATAAGAGAGTACAATAGCGAGCGACAAGATGAATCTTTTAGCGCGTCGGAGTTCTTACACCGCGCCACGATGAGGCTTCGTTTCGCCGGCTAATTACGAGCTCTATAAGAAGCGAATTCAGACGCGGGCATGTGTAAGGACTACCACTTACGCGAGTTATCGCAGCGTTACGCGTCACGTAAAAGCCGCTACACACCCCTCGTTGAACGGCGCAAAGTCGTCGGCCGAGTGTGTAAAGACGTCCGCGGGGACAGGGGAGAAGTGCGCGAGCAAAGGGAAACACACACAGCGCGTTACACCGGCTCGATTTAACCGCCAACT